TGGCTGCTGGCCATGACCACCTTCAGAGGTCTGGGACGCATCGATCCAGTTGCTTCTCCGTCGATGCCAACTAGAGCACATTTGTTACCTGGTCCACAACACAAATCACAACAACAAAGAAATATACACTTACTCCGATAAAGCAGCTCTTAATAAGCCTCCCTGCAAATACTTTTTAGCATGGAATTTTCGTAGATGAGTGCTCATGATGTATCACATATCTTCTATCCAAGTATGCTTAGAGTAGAAGAAACTGAATCCACCTTTTACCGAATATCCAATGTCCTACCTGGTTGACTGTCCGTATGTGTAGTAGACTATCTGCCCTTTTCTTCTTCCCCTATAGGAAAACGAATATTGTCGATCACATGTTTAAAATGATGGAGAAGTACTCCACAGACTTGGAGGAACAAGTCAACGCACGTACCGCAGAGCTGGAGTCGGAGAAGCGTAAAAAGGAATATCTAATAGCTCGACTTCTTCCACCGTAAGCAGTACAGTGAAAGAGCAACTTTTGAGATAAAAATAAATGCATCAGAAAGCCTGTCATCTGTAACGTAAAAGTATTACCTAAAGGTAACTGATCGTAAGCAGATCTAGGCCTTTCCACCCAGTCCCACTTCTGAATGCATTTATTTTAACTGCCACACTTAAGACGATATCGGCACAGGTGGACAGACACACCGTCGAACGAATTAGGTATGCGTTCTTGTATCTGAGCTTTTGGAACGCTGTTAGCATTCTAAACTGGCCCAGAATGTGCGTAGAATTTATAAATACTGCGGAAAATTAGAGAAAATGTGTGCGCCCTTTAATAGTGGACAGTTGAGACCGCGGTTAATATTTGCTTGTGATATAAGTGCGAAGGTGACTATTTCGCATGTAATTTCAACATGCTTACAGTTCTCATGATTCAGAACATGGTAAAAGAATTTGGCTTTAATATGAATACGGTCAAAGAGACACCTGAGTTAAGAAGCTGTCGTAAATTTAGAAAATGAACGACCAGGGTTGAGAGTTTTATAACTTTGAATCCACTATTGTTTACCCGTCATAATTATCGATAGTAACACGTCCGATATTGCACACTGGCTGGCCCTCCACCGTGGTTGGAATTGTAACAAGAGTCTATTTAAATGTTAGAAATATGTTGGCGATAGACGCCTGGTGGAATACTACTACTTTGCTGTTGATGAGGAACCAGTCCTCGACCGTGGTTTGTGTTTCGGTGGACAGTGAACAAGAAGCAAAAAGACGGAAGTTAATTTTTAGTAGACAGTGACGCGAAGGTGCATCCAGGGGGAAACATCCAGGTTATAGAGATGACCCGCAGCGGT